CAAGGGTTGTGTTCCGATCATGGTAGAGCCCGCAACCGGTCAGCCTTTTGGCAAGCTTTTCCAAGCATGCCTTCGGCAAACCGTTCAGGAATAGCAGATAGCAAACACAGTGACTTAGGTGCACCAATGCAAATGCAAATGCAAAGAAACACATAAGTGTGGATAAAATGTCATGTCATGAGTTCGAGTTAAGTTCTCTAATGTACCCAACAAAGTCGCCAGAAACTGTAGGTCGATTTTTTGCGCCCCCTTTTGGAAGGTTTGAAAAAAAAGCCCGATAGTTCCGACTCCCGCGGTTCTGAATTTTTCGCGTCCCCCTTTGAAAGCTCGAATATAAGCCCTATGTTCGAACTCCCACGATTCCGAATCTAATCTCACAAGCGCAATGTGAAATTGATAAACACCATACAGTCCAAATCCTACAAATCTTTTGGAAAATCGATTTTTGGATCAAAATGCCAAAATTGGACTGCTTTGCCAGATACAGATTCGCCACCCAATTATTTTATTTTGGGGAAATTTAGGAAACCCATGACTCGTGCCAAAGGCCACGTGTTCGTCATTACCAAAGTTGCCTCGGCTCGAGAACTTAGATACGAGAGCGAAAGGTCGTGAATTGAGAATCCCCACTCGCCCGATCAAATATCGGCTTCTACTAATCATGATATGATTTTTATGAACATTATGTGCTCTTATTCCGATTATTAGGCTAGCTTTACTATGTGATGCGCACAAGCAAGTATAGACTAAAATTGCAAGAATTGGAACAATTCAATTTCATGTTTGTTTTGTGAAAAAGGTTTGAATTTGCCACCTCAAGTGGGCTTAAAGTTTGAGAATTTGCCACCAAACATAGGGGGCTTAAAACTGATTTGCCACTCAACAAAGTGGGCTTAAAATGCACATTCGTTGAATCGTTCTAATTCAAGCAACAAGCCTTCATCCACAGACATTCAAGCAGTTAAACAAGTAAACATTTAGCCTCATGGCAAGCTTGTTAGTCATGACAATCACTCACAATCATGCAAGTATGCTAAAGCACTAAAAAACTCACCTAGTACTCCAAGCTAAGAAGATATGAGTTAGAAAAATATGCATGATTCCTAACTATACATGGTGCCTAATGCAACACATGCAATATGCAATTAATAAGCTTGGCTACTAATATGGCATATGATTCAATTAACTAACATGTGGTCTAAGCACGTATTGAATGAAGTATTGAAACGATAATGTAGTTTGAATGATGAACCGAGCCTTGGTGCATGCAATACAAACAAATAAATGCAAGCATATGGCATAAGGTATGCTAATTTAAATATGTCCCTAATCTAACCGTCATAAGCAACGAAATAAAATGGAGAAAGACGTGAGATTGGAAGACATGCACATTATTACATTTTGCTCTCACGAAGGAGAGTCCGAATGAATAATAAACTAATTAAGTTACAACACAAATGTAAGCAACCCAAGTAATTAAGATATCTAACTACACTGCCACTACTCCGCCTCAGGAAATGGAAGATGCATATGCTCGGATACCACCCGAAAAGACCTCCATTTTGCTCTCGGAAGCCTCTATTTGCTGAGTTGAACAGTTCCAGAACCATTTTGCTCCACCTTACTAACATTTTGCTGAAGTTTGCATCAGTGGCCAGCCGGCCACTGGTAGATCCTGCCGGCCATCTACCGGTCACTGATGCACTGGATCATCATGCTGCAACAGAGTACAAACAGAGCACAAAAGAGTTTTTCCAAGGATTGTTTGCACAACTCACCCCTCTTTTTCATGAACAAATCCAAGGAGTTGTAAACTTAAGCCACAACAACCAATCCAAGCAATTTCATTCCATGATGGCTTGTGATTCAAGATGTGCAAGCTCAATAAATGCAAAACAAGACATTCAAGAACCATCACCCAATCATGCATAGTCAAGGGCAATGGAAACCTAAGAAACTTGAGACATTTCATCGCTTTGAGTATGAAATGTCCTAATTTTTCTTGTGTTCAATTAATGTCCAATTTAACACATAACATACAAGTTATTATCTTGCTCAATTTTACTCCCAAGTTGTTAATTACTCATTTTAAATTTACCAACCATTACTTAGTCAATTAAGCCCAAATGGTGAGTTAGAGTCCTCTAATGGAAAAAAGGCTCAAAACACAAGTTGCTTTGTATATGAAAAAAGTATCATATCGTTGGTAATGAACCCCCAAAGGGATTAAAACATTAAGTATGAAACCTCAATTCCACACTTAGGCAAACAAATGACTTGAAACCACTTTCAAAGAAAAGAGAAAGACCAAGAAAGGAGAGAGGTTGCATAGGTGATTAGTGCGGGAATGAAGTGCAAAACAACACCGAAACATGCAATCAACTCAAACAAGGGGTGTCTAACGGCCTAAAACACCAAGCTTGTGAGGTCCTTTACACTACAACCATGCAAAACAAGACTCAACTGACCCAAACAGCCCAAAACAGAGCTAAAGCAATCTAAAACAAAGGCAAAAACATGCTGGAATATAGCTAAAAAAAGCTAAAAAATCATGCCAACATATAGAATAAACTAGGCTAGCAAACATGACACAAGGAGGGGAGGGTAACCCCTCCAATTTTGGACTTGAAAACACGTTTTTTTGCCACTGAAAATGCTCTGAAATTCAATGGTTAAAGGCCCAAAAAAGGGTGGTTTCAAAGTGGGAAACAAAGGTGCAAAAGCCTTAGAGGCAAAGAATAAAGAAGGGTGAGACACCCCCCCAACCTTAAATGGCTTAAAACACCAATTTCAGCCCATTAAAATAGAGATTTTCACAGCTCAAAAATGGCCCAAAAACAGTGGGAAAAGATAGAGAAACAAGTGCATTAAAACAAGTTAAAAGACAAATGTCATACCTCTTGAAGCAAAGCACACCTTTAGGCACAAGTACAAGTCAAAACCACCTTCAAGAGCTTCAACATGACCTTAAGAGACCTCATCTCAAAGGTGATCAATTTTGGTTAAGGATATGTATGCAAAAGAGTGGTATAACTAGGCAAGTGTGCAAAAAATTGCAAGAGAGAGAGAAATCTAGAGAGAGAGAAAAAAATTTTGAGTTTGAAATCTTCTAACCTCAAAACATAAGAGAGGGACTCCCTATATATAGAAAACATGAAATCTATACAAGGAGATCCAGCCCTCCACGTGTGGACAAATGCAAGCATCTGTGCAAACAACTGGTGCAGATGGCATAAAATATCTGCAGAAAACACTGATGGCCGGCAGACAGGAAGTACTGGCCGGCAGTCTCCATAGATGGCCGGTAGGCCACCATAGATTACAGGAGGGAAAGACTAAGGCATGGTCCAAAAATGAGACAAAATGGATACAGGGTTTGAAAGGCTCAAACCTGTGGCGTTCGACTGAGAACCTCAAGTTCTTGGCGAGCAAACAGACTCATCACCGGATGTACCTACAAAAACATCCAAGTCTTGAAGGGCCATAAAAAATGGGGTTTCTACACACGCAATCTGTTTTGGAATTTCAATACTTCATTCTCTGCACTAAACCTTGGTCTCGGAATTGATTCAAATTCATCAATTACTTTCTTGAGGAACTCATCCTCTCTTTGTCTTTGTTTAATCTCATCAATAATTTCTGGTTTCGCTCAAATGGCAGCCATCAACCCACCCTGTTCAAGTAACAATACTTCAATCTCGGATTTCTCAAAGTCTTGCAAGATTTCATTTTGTTCAGTGAGTAGACAAGCTAAGTTCCCCATTGATTTTCTACTCAATGCATTAACAACTGTATTGGCTTTCCCTGGGCGATATTGAGTCTGAAGATCATAATCTTTTATCAGCTCAAGCCATCTCCTTTGTCGCATGATCAACTCTTTTTGGCTAAACAAGTACTTTAAGCTTTTATGATCAGTACAAACTTCACATTTTGCTCCATACAAGTAATGCCGCCAAATTTTCAAAGCAAACACAACTACGGCCAATTCCAGGTCATGCGTCGGGTAGTTCTTTTCATGTGGTCTCAACTGTCTGCAGGCATAGGCAATTACACTCTCATTCTGTATTAACACACAACCCAGACCCTTGTAAGAAGCATCACTAAATATCACAAAAATTTTCATACCTGAAGGCAATGTCAACACTAGTGCAGTAGTCAATCTCATTTTTAGTTATTGGAAGGCAGATTCCCTTTCATCATTCCATTCAAATGGTTGCCCCTTGCGTGTAAGTTGAGGGAGCGGTAAAGCTATCTTGGAGAAGTCTTTTACAAACCGTTTGTATTACCTAGCTAAGCCCATGAAACTGCGGACTTCTGTCACATTTGTCGGCTTAGGCCAATTAACAATTGCCTTTATCTTCTACGGGTCTATAGAAATCCCATCAATGTTGATGACATGCCCTAAGAAGACAACCTCATCCAACCAAAATTCACATTTATTGAGTTTAGAAAATAATTTCTTTTCTCTAAGTGTTTGCAAGACAATTCTCAGATGTTGTTCATGTTCCATTCTACTCTTTGAATATATCATAATATGATTAATAAAAACCACAACAAACTCATCAAGGTAGGATTTAAAATTCGGTTCATAAGATCCATAAATGCTGCAGGTGCATTAGTCACTCTAAATAGCATTACAAGAAACTCGCAGTGACCATACCTTATTCGAAATATGGTTTTCTCAACATCTTCTGCTTTCACCTTTAACTGGTGGTACCTGGATCTCAAATCAATTTTTGAAAATACTTGTGATCCCTGCAACTGATCAAACAAATCGTCAATACGGGGCAAAGAGTTTTTATTTTTGATTGTTACCTTGTTCAATTCCGGTAGTCAATGCACAAACGTAAAATCCTATCTTTCTTCTTTACAAATAAAATTGGTTTGTCCCATGGCGAAGTGCTCAGTTGGATGAACCCTTTGTCAAGAAAGTCTTGCAACTGCTCTTTCAATTCTCTCATTTCAATAGTAGACATTTTGTAGTGGGTTTATGAAATAGGTTAGGTGCCTGGTACAACATCAATAGCAAACTCTATTTCTCTATCAGCCAATTCTTCTAGCAATTCATCTGGGAATACATCCAGAAATTCTCTAACAATAGGGATATAATCTATTTCAACATTCATAGATTGCTCAGTCAATATGATACACAAGTAACCCCGACACCCCTTCTTAAGTAATTTATATGCTTTCATTGCAGAAATAGATAAGGTGGGGGCACTGCACCATTACCAACAAACACAAACTCTTCATGTCTTGGCAGTCTAAACAAACTCGTTTCGTGCACATTCAAAAGTGGCACAGTACTTCGACAACCACTCTATTCCCAGTATTACATCAAAATGTCAAATGCTCAAGGGTAACAAATCCACATATAAAGTAGCACTTCCAACATGCACATCACAAATATAATACACAAATGTACATAACACAGATTCCCCGGATGGAGCAGACACACATAACAAATATGGCAATGATTCTAGGTGTCTATTCAATCTAGATGCAAATGTAGTGGACACAAAAGAATGTATGGACCCGGAGTCAATTACCACTAAAGCAACTTGATTACACATAGAAATAGTACCTGAGACAACAACTTCAGTATTTCGTGTGTCATCCGGGACGAGTGCAAAGACTCTCCCTTGTCTTATTGTATCTCTGGTAGTAACAGGCCTCGTAGTATTCCCTAGCTTTGGGATTGGTCCAAACAAACTAGTTGCCGGTTTTCCACTTCTTTGTTGTTCATTTTGGGTGCAATCCCTTACCATATATCCCATTTTACCACATTTAAAGCAAGCTCCAGAAATATGGTAACAAACCCCACTGTGTTTCTTACCGTACTGATTACATGTTGGTGTCGTATCTCTAGTGGAGTTCGAAGTTCTTAAGGATCCCGTATTTTGCTTTTTCAACGATTCCTTCTTTGAGAAAAAGCCCTCTCTCGTACTTTTCCAGTCAGTTGGCGGTCTACTCTGATTAGCCATATTAGTTTCTAACATTAAAGCCCGATCTAGCACATCAACGTAAGTAGGTAGTTTCAATACATTTACTCTTTCTTGAATATCATTGTGAAGACCACCCTCAAATTTTCTTACCTTTTTATAGTCAGTGTCGACAATATGCGGTGCGAACTTGGCCAATTCTGTAAACTTTGCTTTGTATTCTGCCACAGTTAGATTGCCTGTTTAAGCCCGTCTATCACAGGCACATTGCGGAAAGTATTTGTCGTAGAAGTTCTCCAAAAATCATGCCCAATCAATACCCTTGTTATTCTCACTAATTAACATCCACCACCTTCTCGCTTCATTTTCAAGTGTAAATGTTACCAACTGTACTTTCTGTGCTTCAAGGCATGGAAATACTTCAAATAGTTTTTCTATGCCGATGACCCAAGCCTCAACCTTCAATGGGTCCACCCCCCCGTCGAATGCCGGCGGTTTCATCTTCTTAAACTCTTTGGTAAGAGCTATTGTTCGGTCATCACTTTGCAAATCTTGCATAGGCTGTACGAGAAGTGGGGGTGGCGGTGCCATTGTTGTTGTTGCCTCAATGCTTTTGCCATGTCTTGTATTAACCTTTCCATTCTATCTGGTCCAGTAGTAGAGGATTCCTCTATCTCCTTGACTCTTATTCTCACCATTATTTGATGAGACTTGCATTATATTGCATACAAAAACCATATACAAAATATCTATTGTCGGAAAGAACACGTATATACAAATAGGCAACAATTCATATATCATGTAGTCACATATTTAGTATATTCTCAATGCATTCAAGCATATATTTACTACATGAATGCAACGAAAAGACACTCCATTACTCACTTGGACAAGTGTGTGAGTTATTAACTCATGCTTTGATAATGTCATGACCCGAACCCACCCTTATAGGTTATGATCATAACCGGCCAGTAATCACGAGATTACCTACGGCCTTAGACAAAAATCCATTAAAAATTATTAATATGGGGCCAGATACGGAAGCAGATCTTTAAATTTTGTCCAATGAGCGGTGCATACATGGCATGACAAAACCTCACACATCTATAATAACTCATGCATCACACACAAAATCAAGTTATACATGTCTAGGATCATTCAAAAGTAGTTCTAACAAAAACCAAGGTTGCATACAAACTTGGTCACACACGACCACAAAAATAAAACAAAAAGGAAAATCAAAAGTAAAGCCTCGGGCAACCTTGGTTGACTCCACAAACTTGGTTCTCTCACAAGCTCACTGGGGCTGGGGCTGGACATCCCTCTGCTCACCTATATACATACAAATACTGAGTGAGCTAACGCCCAGAGAATAAACAAGAGTAAAGAGGTTATATGAATGAGATTTGTATTTAAATAAATCATATTTGTACTAATATATATGGAACGCAATTGCCATTCATAACGTACTTAAACAAATCATAAGAAACGACCTCGGGTCCAATCCATTATACTTAGATCATATCGAAGGGACGTAATGACCTTAGGTCCAAACATTTTTTGTAACTAATCATAACATATGTACTAAACGACCTCGGGTCCAACATTTCTATATTCTTATTCATGAGCATATTCAAATTCAAGATCATGTTCACATTTAATGGATCCATGCACCAATGACCATCTGGTCCTTCACATCATATGTACAAAACAACCTCAGGTCCGTTATTTCGAAATCCATATTCACGCGTGCATTTATAATCCTGATCATGTTCACATTCAAAGCGACCTTTGGTCCAATCAATTCCTTGTTCAAAATGACCTTTGGACCAGTTAACAATCATACAAAACAACCTTCGATCCAACTCATTTGTAAGATAACCTTAGCTCTATCTTGTCCAATATTCTAAACGGCCTTAGGCCCATTCTGTGTCCTTGTCAAATATACCAAATGGCCTCAGGCCTATTACACATTTTCATCAATCATACAAAACGGGCTTAGGCCCATTGTGTATTCATACAAAACAACCATTGGTCAAATCTTATAGTTCCATGCTTATTAGTCACATTTCAAGTCTTTTACGAAGTTGACAGGTAGAATACTCATTCACAATACAAACTCATGAGGTCAAAAAACTTACCACATAGGTAGTATTTAGAAAATAACATACATGAAAATATCTTTACTAAGATATTACTCACAGTGTTTAGATGGCTGATTCGTCCTCGTGATTGACCCTACACAATTCATAGCGTATACGGAAATCGGGTCACAACACAATTGAATCCGCTCTTTAATTCATTTATCTTTCTTAGGTTTCTTTCTAACTCTTTAGTTCATTTAGAATGCTCAATGTATGCCTAAGAGTGCTCAGAAATGCAAAAGAATTGAAAGTGAGACATAAAACAACTTTTCAAAGTTTCCTGAAACAGGGCACTTCACTCGAGCACAACATTGGTCGCTCGAGCGAATCCTTGGTCTGCAAAAGTACTTGATGCTCTCATTTTATGCTTGAGCCAACTTTTTGGTCACTCGAGCCAAGATTGAAAATAAAGGGTGGTCATTCGAGCGGTCTTTTGGTCGCTCGAGCCAACCTCTAATGTCTGCAAAAGTACTGGGAGCTCAAAATGTACGCTCAAGTGACAGTTCCATCGCTCGAGTGAACTGCTCGAATTATGGAATTTCCAGAATACTTTTTGAGTTTGAAAACACATGTTTAAAGAGTGTAAACTTGTATGTTATGCTCTAAACTACAAGTATACATCTATAAGCATGAATTCAATAGCCAACTTACAAAAATTGAAGCTCAAAACATCATGAATGTCCCATTTTGGTCCAATTTCCTTTCTAAAACTTCTATACATATAGAATTGAAGTCCATAGCCTCGTGATTTATGCATGCATGAACTTAATGACCCTCTTTTCATCATAGACAACATAAACCATGCCTTCTTCTTCTTCTTCTTCTTCTTCTTCTTCTTCTTCTTCTTCTTCTTCTTCTTCTTCTTCTTCTTCTTCTTCTTCTTCTTCTTCTTCTTCTTCTTCTTCTTCTTCTTCTTCTTCTTCTTCTTCTTCTTCTTCTTCTTCTTCTTCTTCTTCTTCTTCTTCTTCTTCTTCTTCTTCTTCTTCTTCTTCTTCTTCTTCTTCTTCTTCTTCTTCTTCTTCTTCTTCTTCTTCTTTTTCTTCTTCTTCTTCTTCTTCTTCTCTCTCTCTATATATATAGTGTATAATCTGAGCACCTTAGTGAAGAGGAGCTCACTTCTATGAGCCTAAGCACTAATCTCATCATTTATATAGTGGGTGATTAGCCTAGGCTAATTAAGCTTGATTAAGGCTAAGCAATCTTAGTTAAGTTTAATCAGTTTAATCTAATTAATTTGATTAATTAAATTTCACCATAGACTCTAAAAATTATGCTAATCACAATGGCGCAATTTTGGTTTCTGTCGCCTATACGTCCCTCAATTTTAGTTTATAACAGAATACAAAACATATTTTCCTATGATGGATAGATATGAATTCAATAACACATATAATCACATGATTAGCATTCAAATTCACATTAAGCACATAATCACAAGTATAATTACGAATTAATAGTATAATACGGAATAAGATTGTCACATTCTTCCCCCTTTAGGAAGTTTGGTCCTCCAAACTTGTGTTACCTTTCATTGGAAGCAGATGTGGGTAGCATTGTCGCGCCTCATCTTCTTTTTCCCACATTGCTTCTTTTCCATAATGGTCTCTCCATTCTACTTTCACTAGTGGAATGGATTTGTTTTTCAGTTGCTTCACTTGTTGGTCAATAATCTGTTCTGGCCATTCTTCATATTCCATATTCTCGTCAAGTGCTATCCGGTGATAGTCTATAACGTGAAACGGATCCCGAAGATAGGCCCTCAACATTGACATGTGCAATACGTTGTGCGTTTGTTCCAGTCCCGGCGGTAGAGCAACTCGGTGTGCAACTGGACTAAGTTTCTCAAGAATTTGAAACCGCCCAATGTAACGGGGTGACAACTTACCCTTCCTACCAAATCTCGATTGGTCTTTCATTGGAATTACACAGATGAACACGTGATTGCCAACCTCATATTCAAGAGGCCTTCATCTAACATCCGCATAACTCTTTTGTCAGCTCTGAGCTGTTTTGAGTCTTTGCTAAATAAGTTTAATCTTTTCAGTGGTAGTTTGCATAATTTTAAGCCCAAGTAAAACTCTATCCCAGGCTTCTGTCCAATAGACTGGTGATCTACATTTCCTTCCATATAAGGCTTCATACGATGCCATGCCAATGCTGGAGTGGAAGCTGTTATTATACACAAACTCTACCAATGGTAGATAGTCTTCCCAACTTCCCTCAAAATCAAAGGCACACTTTCGAAGCATATCTTCTAGAGTTTGTATGGTTCGTTATGATTGTCAATCAGTTTATGGATGGAATGCAATACTAAATCAAAGTTCTGTCCCCGTTGCTGCTTGAAGGCTTTTCTAGAATCTAGATACAAATTTTAGATCTTTATTTGGCACAATGGACACCGGCACTCTATGTAAACAAACAATTTCATCGACATAAATTGTGTCCAATCTACTATGGACACCCCATTTTTGACCGTCCTCAAGACTTGGACGTCATCGTTTGAACACTCGATGATCATCTATGCTCATGTTCGGTTTGAGTCCTTGAAGGTCTCGACTGTGCACCTTGCCTTGGAGCCTCTCGACTTGTCTGTTTTGTGCTTGGTTGTGGACCAAGAGGTTGTGGCTTTGTTTCTGAGGGAAGAGGGTGGCCTGCTGGCCAGCCCTACAACCCATCGGCCAGGCCCCGTGCCCATCGGCCATGCCCTCTTTCCATTGGCCATCACTGATGGCCGATCAGCCCCTTTAATGGCCGGTCGGCCATATCTTTTGGCTGAGGCCCTTTTCTTGCTTTTGCAGATATTTTGTTGCCAGTTGTGCCAGCTAGTGAGCACATAATGCATTCTCCATACATGTGTATGGAGGGATTGCACCAAGCTTCTAGCTTGTCCAACAAGCTTGAGACTTGGATTTGTATAAGAGGAGAGGCTCCTCTCCCCTTTCAGAGGTTGAGAATTTTGGATTAGGGCAAAACATATCCCTCTCTCTCTATATTTCTCCCCCTCTCTCTATATTTGTACTAGTTTGTGCCTTAAAGTGAATTTTCTTCACACTCTTGCACTAAAGCACCTAGTGAAACACCATTACCATGTTGCTGAGTTACTTGAGGGTGTTGTTTTGGACTCAAAAAGCCGGTTTTAACTCAGAGAACTTGCTATCTTAAAGTTGTGCTTCAAGGGTCATTGTTTTCCCTCTTTAAGTTTTATTTTGATCAAGTGTTTGGCCCCTTTTGAATACTGTTTTAGGCCTTACTTTCAACTACAAAAAGTTCTGTTTTTAAGTGTTAAAGATGGCTGTTTGAGGCCTTATGGGAGTTGGGGGTGTTTCACCCCCTTGTTTTCCTTATTTGTTAGGCTTTTGAGCCATCCTTTGAGGCTCTTGTTTTAGCCTTTGCATGGCCCTTCTACCACTGAAACGCAGAGGAATTTCAGTGGTGGAAAGGTGTTTTTGAGGTCCAAAATGAGAGGGGGTGGTCCCCTCTCCTCTTGTCTTGCTTCCATGCCTTGTTGGTCTTGTACATGAGCATGCTTTTCTACTTCTTTTAAGCTGAGTCCAAGCATGTTTTTGTGAATTTTTAAACCTGCCATAACTCTGTTTTAGGTTGGTTTGGTCATTGGTTGCTTGCTTTTGGTACTTGTAGTGCAATCATGCTTGTTGGCTTAACATGCTTCATGCTTTAGTTCATCATTCTAGCATGTGTCAGCTTTGCTTCAGCACATTTTTGCCACTGATTTAACATGCTTGAGGTCTGTTTTAAGTGGTCTTGGTCATATATGGCTTGCTTTGTATAGCTATGGCATAGTTAACTTCACTAGCTTTGTGTTTGAGGTCCCTAGCATGCTTGGAATGTGATGTTTGCATGGTATAGCCTCATTTCTCACATGATTTCAGAGCATATTCCAATGCCACACTCTCACATTTTTCACTCCTTCAATGTGTTTGAGAGTTGTGTCTTCATGCCTTGTTTGTGAGCCAATGTGTATGCATGCTTGTACAGGCTTTCGGGCTCCCTTTTCAGCATGTTTTGGCCTTTGTTTTGGCATGGTTAAGCTCTGTCCAAAGCTGGTTTAGTTGTTTAAGCTTAGTATTGCATGCTCCTTGTGTGTTGCTCTTTACTAGCCTTGTTCTTTAGGGCCTCTTGCATGCTATACTTGTGTTGTTTGAGTGATATGACATCATTTAACACATAATTTCAGAGCATATAGCCTTGTTATACTCTCATATTTATCACTCTTTCAATGCGTTTGAGGGTTGAGCTTTGTGCCTTGCTTGTGAGCCATGAGTTGAGCATGCTTTTCTTGCTTCTTGTGTTTAAGTTTTAGCACATTTTGGCCATTGTTTGGGGCATGCATGAGGTCTATTTGGGGTTGGTTTAAGTCCATTGAGCATTGTATTGCATGCCTCTTGTATGATGCTATTTACTTGCTTTGATGCTTTGGCCTCCAAACATACCATGTATGCATTGCTTATATGAAGGAACCTCATGAGCACCACTCTAGCATTGATAGATAGCATATTGTTTGCATGTGTGTTGCATTGCATTGTGTTTGGATCGGACGTTAATCTGAACACGAGAAACGAGGGACGTTTCATACTTGAAGTGATGAAACGTGCCTCATTTCTTAGTCGCCGTCCCCGTTGATTATGCATGATAGGATGGAGGCCTCTCGAGTCTTGTGTGTTACTTATGCATTCATCAACATTGTGCAAGCTTGACTCTTTGGCCATCATACATTGAGATGCGTAATTGGTGGCTCGAGAGCCGAGCACTACACTCTTTGAGCTTGAGACATGATAAGGAGTGTAGTTGCACACACATTTCCTTGAAAATACACTGCCATGCCTCTGTTTGTGCTCTGTTGCAGCAAAAGGAGAAATTGCAGGAAGTAGTGGCCGACCGGCCATCAAATCTGCCGACCGGCCACCAAGGCTGCCGATCGGCTATTAGAAGTGGCCGATGGCCATCAACTTTGGTCGATGGCCATCCCTCTTGGCCGACCATCCCTCAGCATGTTTCTAAGGTGGGTCAGAAACATTCTGGAAGTTGGCATAATTTTCAGAGGTACAGAAGTGTGCAAACAGAGGCATTTAGAGGCAAGGCGGTGGATTTCTGGGAGGACACGACCGAGCATGCATGCCTCCCTTGCTTGCGAGGCCATTTCACCGCTTTACTAGCTAGTTGTAGTTAATTACATCTGTTGTGGTTAATTAGAATATTTACTTTGTAATATTTTAAATTAGCTTAGCATAGCTAGTTTTCAATTTGTGTTGTAATTAATTAGCTTGAATAACATAGTTAATTAGTTGATTTGTAATAAGTAGTTTAGCTTAACGTAGCTAGTTAGCGCTTATTTATTCGGACCCTCCGTCGAGAGGGCACAATGTTGTAATAAGTGTGCGTGAGTGTGTGCATGTCTTCCAACCCCATTTCTTTCTCCCTTTTACTTATAAGCTTTTGATGGTTAGTTTAAGACATATTTCAATTAGCATCCTTACGCTTTGCATGCATTCATTATTCATTCGTATTGCATGCACCGGGCTCGGCGCATCATTCAAACCGCATTGTATTTCAATTCCTATTTGAATACATGTTATCAAATCGTCACATTCATATGCCATCATAGATAGCCGAGCCTACTTAGTTGCATTTTGCAAGTGTTGCATTAGGCATTGTTAACATAGCTAGGATCATGCATTGATTACTAACTAGCTTCTGTTTTGGCTTGGAGTAAACTGTGTGTGTTTATGCTTTAGCATCCTTGCATGCGTGTAAGTGATTTCCATGACAGCATGCTTGCCATGAGGCTATGTGCTTAAATGATTAACTGCATGAATGCTTGTGGATGAAGGCATTAATGCTTGAATTGGGACAATTCGTCAAATGTGCGTTTTAAGCCCACTTGAAGTGGCAAATCATCATGTTTTAAGCCCACTTGAGGGTGGCAAATCCGCGTTTTAGCCTACTTGTGAGTAGCAACTTCAAACCATTTTTGAAAAACAAACATGAGATGTTTTGTTCTAACTTAAGCGATTTGGTCTATACTTGTATTTTGTGCGCATCACATAGTAATTGTAGATTAATAATCGGAATAAGGACACATGTGTTTTCAAAAACAACATATCATGATTAGTAGAGGCCGATCCTTTGATCGGGCGAGCGGGGGTGCTCATTTCATGACCTTCCCCCCCTAACCCAAGTTCCCGAGCCGAGACAACTTTGGTGATGACGGACACGTGGCCTTAGGCACAAGTTCAGATTTTCTAAATTTCTCAAAATAAAATATTTAGGTGGCGACTCTGAAATCTGGCAAAGCAGTCCATGTTTGGCAATTTTTGATTAAAATCAATTTTCCAAAACGATTTGCCGGATTTGGACTCTTTGGTGATTTATCAGTCTTACATTGTACTTTGTGAGATTAGATTCAGAACCATGACAGGAGTCCGAACTGTAGTAGCTAGAACACAATTTGCGCCCTCTCCGAAAGGGGGGTGTGCGGAGCGAGTTCAAGCGGTTTGCAGTTTCTGGCGACTCTGCTGGGGATTTAGAGAACTTGACTCGAACTTATGATATGTTGTTTCGTTTACACTTATGTGCTTCTTTGCATTGCATTTGCATTGGTGCGCCTAGGACACTGTGTTTCCCGTCTACTATTCCTGAACGGTTTGCCAGAGACTTGCTTGGAAAAGCGTGCCATAAGGCTGACTGATTACGGGCTTTGCCACGAAGGGAACACAAACCTCGATTTTTATCGAGGCACCCTTTTTGACCATTCCAAACTGAGACAGGTTGCTTACCCGATTGTAGGTTGTTTGAAACCGCTGCGTGCATAGTGAAACCCTAGCTCCTGACAAAATAGGACAGGGAAACCCTACCCTAAGATAGGGGCGTTTTGGCTCTTACTTGCTTGATATGTGCT